CTTAACGGGGAAAGAACGTTCATGTCCATTTTAGCTACGCATACAGCAACTGGAGCTTCCATAGGTCAGTGCTTGTGAAGCTGTGGTTGTTTGTCTCCCGGGGTGGAGTGGTAGGGTAGGGATGTGGCCACAGAGGCCACGTGGAATGCTGGGGGAAAGAGAAATAGGGAGGTGCTATAATTGAGTTCTCCAGACACTGCAAAGGGAAGTGAGCTGAGATTGTTGAATCAGTAGGTCCACAAGAGTTTGCAGCATCTGTGTTTGCTGCTGGAGAAGCCCCATTATATCCTAGCGCATCTCCCTTTTCCTGTTGCAACTCCTGGGCCTTTCTCCTATCTGCTCTTTCCTTCTCCATACAGTCTGTGATATTCACCCTCCAGGCACTCTGCTCACAGTCTGATGCAGCCCTGACTTGCAGCATCTCACTGAACATGTTATCCTGAGTCCTTTTCTTTCTCCTTCTTGTCTGACTTAGGCATTCCATCAGTGTGGAGGGGGAAACCCCTCAAAGCCACAATGGCAGCAGCTACAGACAAAACACACAGAGGTACTAGTGTCAATATAGTCACAAAAGAAAGTGAACATTAAGATTCAGAACTCCCTTCCCTTGCTCCCCTAAAGTTTTAAACCAGATATGCTTATTGCCACTTCTGCTTCAGAGTGCTTGTGCATGGCACCACTCACAGCACCAAACAGGGTGAGCATGGCCCGCCTGGGGTGAGGGAAATGAGACAGGAATTGCTCAGTTGTATAAAGAGTATATGGCAATGGCACTGAACAGTGGCACCATTGTCCACAGGTGGTCGTGATTTTAGCTGATATCTCACCCTGAGAGTAACAAAGGCACAGATAGCACAGCTGCTGCTGACTTCCCGAAGCTGCTCAGGCCCATATGCTGCTGGTCTGTTAACTTGGGCAGGCACCATTGCAGTAATCACTGACTGGCCTGGGAAAAAAATCCTACCTCAGAGGAAGAAATAAGGCTGCCTTCCTAGAAATCTTCAGGAGAGGATTGCAGAGTACCTCCATGAAAGTTTCATCAAGATCTCTCTGGAGGATTCAAGGGACACCCCTGTGTACATAAACAAACTGTTTCACATGGTCCACCCTGCCTAACTGTACAGGGAAATGAAAAAAGCACATAAACAATTCTACTTCTCTTTGTAGTACCACTACCTCTTCTAGTATGAGTAAATTTAATGAAAAGTCGATAGCTGTGTCCTGTTAAGTTGGGCACTTCATTAATACATCACTGTAATGGGAAATACATTTACACACTTATCCAAGGTTCCTTCCCCTGCATTGGGCTTACCTGTGCTCAACTGCCAGGACTCACTGGTCTGCAATCAAATCTCAAACAGGTTCTGGACCGTGGCATAGCTGCACCCCCACAGTTGCATATCTCCCACCCTTCTCCTCCTCCTCCTCCTCGCTGTTCACGCCAGAGACCTGTGACGGGCTCCTCAAAGGTATCCAAGGTTGTCTACGGGTAATGGGGTGTCTACCAAGTATGGCATGCAGGTCTTTGTAAAAACGGCAGGTCTGAGGCTTGGCACTGGATCAACTGTTGGCCTCCCTGGCCTTATGGTATTCCTGCCACACTCTGCTTTCATGCAGCATTGCTGCTGATCCCTGCCATACCACTTCTCCTGCATCCCCTGTGCAATCTGCTTGTAGGTGTCCACACTTTTATGGCTAGCCTGTAGCTGCGCCTGCATAGCCTCTTCTCCCTACAGCCCCAGGAGATCCAATACCTCCTGTCTACTCCAAGCCAGAGCATCTCTGGAGTGTGTAGCTGGCATGGTCAGTTGGGCAGTTGCATACAACAATGGAGAGCTGGTAGGTGTGCTTACCAAGCTGGACAATCATGAAAAGGTATTTCAAAAACTCACAGGACTTTAGAGGGTCAGGAGGCCTTCAGGTCTCCAGACCCCTGAGCAGTAGAGTTCACAATTGTGACCAGAGTGGTCAGTGTCAGGCATTATGGGATAGCTGCAGGAGGACTGTTAGGGTTGACATAAGTAATGCAGTGTCTACGCTTGTGGTTTGTCAACCCCAGTATGTCACCATGGCTCAATGCTGCTTGGGGAAGTGGTGTTACTACATCGCTGTAATGGGGCACTTACACACGGTGGGAGACAAATTTAAGTGTAGAATCCGTGCAACTAGGTCGATGCAAGGCAAGGTTGACCTAGCTTTGTAGTGAAGGCCAGGCCACAGCCAGGTGATGATCTTGAAATTTTTATATATTTACATATAACCTCTTTTCTCTTGGCACGGCCTCTTTAAGTGATCTGTAGCTCTTCCTTCTTTGGTATTGTCCTTGTTAGTTCTGGATATATCTTAAGGAATTCTGTAACTCAACCACTACTCTTCTGGCAAATGTATTTATTGGGCTTAATTGAGAAGACAGGGCACAGAAAGTGAAAGAAAGACACACAACTAATTTCCATTGATCAACAATAGTCAAAAATAATGCTCTTCTCTACTCCTGAAATGATTGCTTTGTAAACCATTTAACATTAAGTTCCCTAAAACACAGCTTACAGGTGGCTGGGAAAGGAAAGAACATTAGATATCTTGCAAAACAAATGATGCATTACAATATGGGAAGAACTACTGTAGAAGTGAAACCAACCAACCTAATTGCCTGACAAGGAGCTGGAGAATTTTAATAATATATTTACTGGATGCAAAGTAGTAGTGTGCATTCACTGAAATTGGAAGGATGCATTGTTATATTTATGCTATATAAAGATATGTACAAAGCTGTGGATCTTCTGTATATCCACCATCCTTGGGCCCTTCCCCATAAGATAGGCAATAAACCAAACTTCAGATCATGGCTTTCCCAACCTTCCTCTGCTCACTTTGCTTTTTTAGTTGTATGTACCCCTTTTCCTCTACACTTCATCTTTCATATCTGGTTTGTAAGCTCTAGCTCTCACTACGTAGTTGCACAGTGCCTGACCTTGATTGAGGCCTCAGTTCTATGTTAGTACTCATGTCGCACTGGCTGGAGTGACTGTTGACCGAGAGTGCCAACCTCAGGGAAGACTGTCAAAAAGCAGGGCAGACGCCCCAAACTGATTGTTCTATAATTAGATTTCACCAACCCAGTAACAAGTGTGAACTCCTAAAGCACTATAACAGTCTTATCATGGAGTCAGAGACCGTGGCCGGGGGCATTCCAATCTGTCTTGCCAAGCAGGCAAGCTGGACTATGTGACAGATGGTCACTTTACACCAAAATCACAACAATATTCAGGTTACTTCCAATGTCAAAGGACCAGTCTCTTACTCAAAGGACCACGTCAACTGTACTCCGATCTCAAACCAAGGCAATAGCCAATCCTGTAATAAAACAAAGTTTTATTTAAAAAAAAAAAGAGTTATTTACAAGGTTAAAACAAGAAACATACAAACACAAATGAGATACAGTCTTGGATTTAATAAGGTAATACACGCTTCTATAATAAGCAGCTCTATATATGCTTTAGGACTGACCCATGCCAAGCAGCATGGGGATCGCTTGCTTATGTTTAGGAATCCTTGCCTTTCAGAGTCCAGATGCATAAAGATCCAGTTTCTCCTTGACAGGGATTTTTATCCCCTTCTCCCCAGAGCCCACACTGATAGAACAAGTGTCGGCGCCTGATTCCTCTTTATGTGAGTGGGGACGTCCATCAACAATCTTTGTCCTTTTGATGTCTTACAATGGCTCATTTGGTTTCAAAGGCCTCTTGTTTGAAGGACTCGCACTTTTCCTTAGTTAATACTTCTTTCCTGTTTGAGGCCAGTTCTGCACTACAGACCTACGTCCATATAACTGCATCACTCAGGAACGTGAAAAATCCATATCCCTGAGTGACGTAGTATACTGACCTTAACCCCTGTGTACAGCGCGCTATGTCAACGTGAGAGCTTAACAGAGAGATGCAGCATTTTAAGTGTAGACCTGCCCTGAGTTACACAATAGCAGATGTTTACAGTGCAAACACTCAATATAATTTTATACCATGGGCAACAGAGGTTATAAGTGAGATCAATACATGCAGCATCCTACACTGTTCATAGGGGCTAAACACCAAACACATTCTTACAACTCTAATATTTATCTTAACACTACGAGCACCCAGGTAAGTCAGACTGGTTTCCAGCTATGTATTTGTTAGTGTTCAGTGAGGCCCTGGGCCTTAGCATGAGCTGGCACCTGGTCTGCCAGCATCACAACTAGTAACGAATAGTCCTGGAGGATAATATTTTCACAATTTCTAGAGGTCTCTAGTGGAGCCACTGCTTGGGCTTATTCTACTTCTTGCATTGGCCTGTCAAATGCACACCCTATCAGGTCTGCCTCTGTGTGGCTCCTTGAACCTCTTGCCAGCAGTGGCAGTACAGTTGGCTGATTGTCTGCTGCTATTGTGTACCATTTGCTGGCTTCACTCAACTGACTCCTCTGAGGATTTGCAGAATATAGGAGTTGAGTACACTTTGGGACTCTTAACCTACCAGTATTTCAACCTCTCTCTCTCTTGCTCTCTCTGGGTGGGGATTTTGGCTCACAAACACACACACACACACACACACCAAGGAAGCATGGGGGGGGAGGAATCCTGTTAGGAATAAATTCATAATGCAGCGATTTCATTCGTAATATTGCTTTATATTGTCAGCACTACTTTAGCTTCTGTGCATGGAGCTATTTCTAATTTTGGGGTGACACCATATCTTAGTGGAATGTTTTCTGTTTTCTGCTCATTTTGGCCAACATCAACCTAAGAAATGGATGGTCTTGAAAGGACTTGTTCCCTTCCAGAAACCTGTCTGTCCAGTGGGAGTAAATCAGTCTTTTAAAACTCGTAACAGTTAACACTGATAGCAGCTGCCCCATCACAGATTTTATAGGTGGATATAAATGAGATATATACATCAATTAGCATAGATCAATGTATTTAAATAGTTCTTCTGTAATGTACTGTGTTTTCTCTTTTTTTCAGGCTGTTTTTATTACCATATCTTAGTTATTTGGATGTTTCCTACAATGATATTAGTGTTATCCCTCATGAAATCAGGAATCTCAGGTATTGATATATAATATACACTGGAACCAGACCTATGTGTAAAATATTGTGAGCCTATTAGGAAGTCGATTGTTAATAAATCTGGAGTAACGCCACTGATGTCCATGGATTTACTCTGGATTTACACCGGTATAACAGAGATCACAGTCTGGCCCACTGCCCTGTAATGGGGGTCTGATTTTTAAAATTAAATGCATGTCCAACTGCTTAAATATCATGATTATGCTTGTAAATCAGGTAACTTCACACAAATTATGATCATTTGTTAATTGTGCCCATATGCATGCGCACTTGCCTAATTTGCACGCATGATCATTGTAATTGTATGCCCTCAAATCATGTAAACCACATTGTCATTCCCAGAACGTGCAAATGAAGGTGTGATTGCAGTGTGGGCAGGCATACCTGCTCTAGCTTTAATCCAGCTAGCACATGTAACAATGGTAGTGACGATGTGGGAGCAGGGGCTTTAGCATGGGCACCAGAGGACATACCCGGGATCCCCTTGTACACTGATTGCTAGCCTGTTCTCCCACTTCTTCACTACTATTATTACACATTAGCTAGGTTAAAGCTAGCACAGGTATGTCTACCCATGCCACAATTACACCTTCACTTGCAGTGTAGACATACCCTCAGTGTGTTTGTGTGTGGTAGACAGGGGAGGTTAATACTTTGGCCTTAAGGGAATGATACAGTAGAAATTTTGTGATAAACTGAAAAGGTTTTTCTGAAAAAAACAAGGAATTAATGTACCTTTTAGAATGACGGTTAACATCTTTGAGGTATGTTGTATTAAAAGCAATTGTATATGTGTTATTGTGGCATTGCATGTACCTTCTCTAGTAGGGATGGGGATGCTAATATACTTCTTCCATTATAAACCCTTTGAAGCCACCCTCTGGAGAGGTGCACATATACCAGTTCAGAGTGGATTCTTCAGGCACCAACAGACAGAGAAAGGGTTTTTGAATAAACAGCCTGGTTTTAAATTGGCTCATGACCTTCTTCCTGATCCAGCAAATGGACAGGACCATTGGTCCAGGGAGGGCCCCAGTCCTTTAGGGCAGTGGCTCTCAACCTTTTCAGACTATGGTGCTGCTTTCAGGAGTTTGATTTGTCTTTTGTACCCGCAAATTTCACCTCACTTAAAATCTATTTGACTATAAAATCAGACGTAAAAATACACAACTGTCACAGCACATTATTACTGATCAATTACTTATTTTCTCATTTTACCATATAATTATAAAATAAATCAATTGGAATATAAATATTGTACTTACTTTTCAGCATATAATATATAGAGCAGTATAAATAAGTCACTGTATGAAATTTTAATTTGTACTGATTTCGGTAGTGTTTTTATGTAGCCTGTTGTAAAACTAAGCAAATATCAAGATGAGTTGATGTACCCCTAGAATACCACTGCATACCCCCAGGGGTATACGTACCCCTGGTTGAGAACCACTGCTCTAGGGAAAGGTTGGAAGGGCAGGGCCCACTGAGGCCTATATGACTGTTGGCATGGTCTAAGCTGAAGCTGTGATGAATTTGTTTCTAAAACGAAACCCTTAGTATGGGGTGTTGAAGGACTGCTCCTTCCAGAGCCCATGTTAGGGCTGGGGTGAAGACTAGTCAGTTTATTAGTATGTGTGTAAGATTCTTTTATTGTTTTAATATGGTTTTTTTTGTAATGCTTTGTACCTGAAGGATAAAGTAGGTTTGTGTAGGAAGTGCTGTATGACATAGGCACCGACTCCGTGGGTGCTCCGGGGCTGGAGCACCCATGGGGAAAAATTAGTGGGTGCTCTGCACCCACCAGCAGCCAAGCTTCCCCGCATCCCCACACCCGACCTACTCCTCCTCCCCCTCCCCTGAGCGCGCCACGTCCCTACTCCTCCACCTACCTCCCAGCGCTTCCCGCCTTGCCGCTGCCAAACAGCTGGAGGGGGAGGAGTGGGAACATGGTGCGCTCAGCGGAGGAGTTGGGGAAGAGGCGGGGCCAGGGTGGGGATTTGGGGAAGAAGTCAGAATAGGGGCAGGGAGGGGGCGGAGTTGGGGCAGGGACTTTGGGGAGGGGGTTGGAATGGAGGCAGGGCGCAGGCGGGGCAGGAGTGGAGTCGGGACGAGGCCGGGGGGTCGAACACCCATTTGCGGGAGCAGAAGTCGGCACTTATGCTGTATGATGCCTTATAACAATTATACCTGTTAACCATCCCTAATGAGAAAGCATGTAGGTGCCATTGGGCAACTTGTCTGTGTTGGTAGTAACACAGTGAAAGCAGGGAACTGTGCAGCCTGGAGATACTCCAGTCAGAAGGGAGAGAAATATGGGTCTCTGCCCAGGACAGGTGATGACTGGGGGAGCTGGTAACTTGAGAATGGTTGCCCTTGCTGCACTGTAAAGGGGGAATACAGGTGCAGTTGCCCTAAACTGTGACACTATGAAAGAGGAATTTTTTCCCACAAAGAGTTAATCTGTCGCTGTTTTTGGTGAGAAAGTTTGTCGGAATATCAGCAGCTGTTTATATGAGCAGAAGGAGGGCAGATATAGAAGTATACTTACATGTTAATAAGCAAGAGTGTGAAGTTGAGAACACACACACTTAACATTAAATTTTTGAGAAATCTGATGATGGCCTATGTGTGTGTTTGGACACCTGTCTTAAGCTTTCAGTTGGATACACACACAATCCCTTATTTCCAGTTGCACTAGTTGTTTAAATTGTACTTCAGAAAATAATTCTCTTTGTGCACATAATTGCATCATTGAATCAACACTTAAAATGTATTATTTTTTAAAACTTAGCCTTTTATACATACAGATACATGTTCCATCTAGGTGCAGTAACTCAGCAAGTGGGAAGTAGGATATGTATACAATTATAGCTGAGATGAATTGTGTACATAATTTGGTGGTCTTTAAAATTACAGGGCACTGGAATATCTGAATGTTGAAGGAAATCAGCTGTGTGCTTTGCCTTGTGGGGTTTTGAAGCTTCCTGTGAAACTCCTTAACACAGAAAATAATTTGATGCATCCCTCTTTATGGAAAGAAAACAGCCAGAACCAGCCACAGAGACTTACTGATCTGGCTGCCCTTTACTTCTCCAGAAACCACATGTGGCAAAGATATACTGAGATCTCAAAGGATATTCAAGAAATATTAAACAAGTAAGTGACAGAAATCTCTAGCTGACACTCTGGCTTCCATGGGAGTTTTGGATACACAAGAAATGTACCAATGGCCCCTAATTACTTATTCTGGCAATGTCAGAAGGACACCGGCTTTAGACCTGGTAATGTATACTTTCTCCATCATGAAACCACCTCTGTAGATCACCACTGTAGGAGCTCCATGCCATGAATTGTGAGCCACAGAATAAGTTATTGACATCTTCACATTAAAATAATGCTGATCAATAATAGTGCAGTTACTTATAACAATTCTCATGCAGGTATACTCAGCTATGTATCTGAATGCATACCAGGCCTATGTATTTTTGATAATATATGGAACTGTACATTTAATCAAGTTCATCAAACATGTGCAAATTATTGCTTTGATCCATTTAAATAGCTTAACTAGTTCTGTACTGTCACCTATTACCATCGTATATTCCAGCCAAAAATGTTTGCTGCATCGTCATGTTGAGGTTGTGCACTGAACCAGTCTGTTCAAGAGAGAGCTGTGAGCTTCAGAACAATCTAAGTTGAAAAAAATACCAGCTCAATTTCTGGGAGTGGCAGAGCTATCCCCACCCCTGCACTGCATCTCTCTATTTTCGCTTTGTCTGCCTCAGACTTCCACTTGTCCTCCTTCCCCACTGGAGCCATACAAGTATAACTACACCCTTAGGGCTAGAGTCATTACCCCCATGGAATAGAGAGCAGCCTACACCACAATGTAGTTCTGGAAGTGCAGGAACCTTCCACAACCATCAGTCTCAAAATCAATCTGAGGCCAGCTAGATCCCTTAATTTCTAGTTGAAGATGCAGAAAGTGAACTGGAATGTACTGTGTGTGTATAGTCATGTGCAATGTTTCTGACTCATTTTTCTCTCCATCTTAGCTGTAGAGTCTGTGACTGCTGCAAAGGACCCTTGTATGGTCAAGGACTTCGTCTCATTCGATCTTGCAGGAACATATTTAGATTCCGCAAACTTCCTTTTCTCTTTAATGCCTGCTCACCTTCCTGTTACAGCAGGTACATGTCTCAGACTGACTCTCAGACTTGAATGCTTTATGGAAATTGATCTGGGTTGCAGCAGAGAAACCGGTGATATAATGCAGTTAAGAAATATGAGGTTTTTTAGGTCATGTTGTACAAGAAAATAGCTTGTGATACTGGAGTGTTTGGGATCACTTTCTCTGTGCAATTATCATATCCTCCTTAATGTGCTTTCTGGCCTAAATGTTCTATTTTTATTTGGAAAGGAGTCTTTGCCTGTTTAGGTTTGTTTGGGATCACTCACTAGCCTTCTCGGAAGGATTTTAAGAACTGCTTATGCTTAGCTATTAAGACATGACAAGTTCTATACAAATAGCTTAAATCCACAATTCATAACTTGCTTATGTTTCATTAGACACCAGTGAATAATTGAATCAACAATATAGCAGGCCAAATTCATTGCCGTATAAGCCAAGTGAAGTTTATAAATTGTACCACCGATGATTTTGGCCCCATACTTCCTGGAGTAATAATTCATAGAAGAGAATTTTTTAATCCTCTTTCACCCTACCAATAGTACACCATATTATAAATTGGTTCTTAACATGGTTTAAAATTGGACAACAAAGTTTGTATCCCTGTAACACAACGTTAACACCATTCTATAACGTTGTCCTAAAACCTTGTTCAAGCCCTGCTAGAGGAGTAGTCTCGAACATGGTTCTAATTCAGTGTTCAGTTCCACAAACACATGCCATTGGCCTTAGAGTGAAATTGACCCATGTGCAGAGAGCCAGTGCAAGCCCTTTGCACCACTTGAGATCTGCTTAAGCCCTCAAAACAAAGCTTAAGTAGGATTTAAATGATGCATAGGACTTGGTGTTGGTCCTCTGCACAAGTCACTTTCAGCCTTAGTACTTACTGCTGCAAAGAGTTCCATTCACATACACGGGACTACTTGTGATAGTAAGCATTTGCATTTGTCCAGGAGTAAGCATTTGCAAGTTCAGGCTCTAGCGTGGGTCATACCTTTCCAGGAACCATGTCACTGTGCTGTGACACAGGGTATATTTACACAGCACTGGTAGACAAAAATGTCTGCTCAGAGGGGGTAGGTGGGATGGTTGTACTTAGGTGGCTGTCATGAGCCACCTTCTGCTGTATAGCAGCCACACTGCTATGTTTAGCCTGCTAGCTCAAGCAGAGGTAACGTGTCTGTCTACCTGTTCTGGGAAGCGCCATCCCAACTGCTGTGTAGACATAGCCACAGTTCCCAGAGGAGTAGTTTGGCTGTAGTAGCCTGGTTTTGATTTGAACTGAACATGATTAAACTATACTAGCAAAACTGCTTTTTTCCACTGGTATAAAAAGTGGTTTAAAGTGCTACACTATCTGCCACATACAAAACACTAATTTGGCTATTAGTAATTGTTAAACGGCACAACTACAAAAAGGTGCCTCTTGAACATGTCTTCAACCCAGACTTAATATACTGTTGATAATCCAGGTGCAGAGTTTATATGGGGGCTAAGATTCTCAAAAACAACTAATGATTTTTTGGATAACCAGCTGGAGACACCTCCAGGAGGCCTGATTTTTCAGAAAGTGCTGAACAGTCACTCTGAAAATCAGACCTCGTTAAATTGTCTCAAGTTGGCACCCAAAATCACTAGTTGCTTTTGGAAATCTTAGCTGTAGTGCATATTTTATTACAAATAGCTTTGACAAAGGAAATTCACACTAAAGTGAAGTTTGCTAGATAGTGTTCTCATTTATTTGAACACGAGACAGACGCCAATAATCTAATGTCTGGCTGATTATAGGTATGTACATTTTTGTATAGTCCTTAATTTTTTTTAATGTCAAAATCCAAGATAGGAGCTTTCCAAAGGAACCCTGTAATTTGTATTTAAAGGATGTTTGGGCTATGTCTGCTTTTAATTATATAATTTGACATTGTCAAATACAAAACATTGGTTGGTGGAAAATGTTTAATAAAAAATTAAACTTGGGGGTCCGAAGAAAAATTTGCTCTGCAAATTTCAAAAGATTATTTATCAGATTTCCTAAGTAGGAAGTCTGAATTTCTTCACCCTCAGTCACCAGTTTTGATTTGATGGGCTTGGGCTTGCTCTCCTTAAAATGACTAGTAGCAGCAGCAGCAGCCGCCAATAGGAACACAAGGTTTTGGTGGCATCTGTAGAGAGATCTTTTATGGCTGATGTCTTTCCAACAAGTCTCCTCTATTTCAGAGAAGTATAGTCACAGCAGAAATGCTCATAGTTCAGCATTTCGCTCGTTTGAAGTTGTGATAGTGTGTTTATCCCACACAAATCATGAAGGGATTAATGTGGGCCTGAGACCAATTTTAACCCACGTGGTTGTAACTGGAGAGTGAGCCAGACATAATTAGAGAAGAAGCCGAATTGGGGAAGGAGCTGGGTTGTGGTTATTAGAAAGGGAAGGAACCCACAGTAGAAGAATGCTGCAGGGGGAGAAAAAGTAAGTCTGCAGTCACTTTCTGGCATTAGAGAGACTAGGACAGTTGAGGAGTAAGCCCCGGGATCCTTGCCTGTGTGTAGAGAAGGCTGGTATGTGGCCAAGAGAGACAGGGAGCAGCCACGGGGGTGGAGCTGGTTCTAGAGGTATGCCATGAAAGAAAGCAGCAGCTGGTCTTCTAAGAAGAGAGTCCTGGGAGTCAATCAATCAGGGAATACAGCAGGGTAACTGAAAGAGGGATGAAAGTCAAGCCCAAGGAAGGCAGAAGTGGGGTTAAATTTTAATTGTGGGTTTGGGATTTTGTTGGGGGATTCCGGGTGAGGGCCCTGAAAGTAGGAATAACCTAGAGAGGTAGTAGGGGAGAAAGCATGAGTGAGACATGGGAGGAAGAAATCTAAGGTCTGGTCTGCACTAAGACCTATGTTGGTATAACTACATCACTCAGGGGTGTGAAAAATATAGCGACATAGTTATACCGACCTAACCACCTGTGTTGACAACACAGTGTTGGTGGGAGAGCTTCTTCCATCAATGTAGCTACCACCTCTCAGGGAGAGAACAAGAGAGTTCTCTTCTGTCAGCTTACAGCATCTTGATTAAAGTGTTACAGCAGCGCAAGTGCACCAATGCAGCATTTTAAGTGTAGACGTGCCCTAAGGAGGTGACAGCAAGAAGTCTGGGGCTGTGAACTTTGCCAGTCTGTCCTTTGGTCCCTGGACTAGAGCCCAGTGGAGTAGGAGGGCTGGGTTTCCCTAGTAGCCACTGGTAAGGTGGTGTGAAGCCCTAAGAAGGGGCCAGGGATGATGGAAAGCCCTGAAAGAAAGGTGTGAGGACTACAGGATTCTGAGGACTGAAGATTTTTTTGTCAGCATATTTGAACTCGTATTTGTTGGACGTTGTTACCCCAAAAGGGGTGAGACTAAACTGACCTGTACACCGGGGGAATTCTGCACCTAAAAATTCTGCAAAATTCTGTATATTTTATTTGTCAAAATAACACAATATAATCATGCCCGTTCAATTATTTTGGTAATTTATTTCAAAATACCTATCGACAAGTATGTCTAACAATACAGACAACAAAAAAGATTCAGGAAGTGGTTTTGACAGATAGATTCCTTACTAGGCCTATTAATACAGAACTTTGAGTAATAATTAATTTAAACTGCAATATAGAAATGTATTTCCAGAACCCCTCAGAAGCAGTGCAAAGGCTTGGGGGAGTCAGGGATAATGGAGGAGCTGAGGGAGAGGGAAGTAAGTGCTGGGAGTGAACCTGGAGGGTTGTTGGGTGGGGGTGGGAGAAGTATAGAACAGTGTTTTGTTTTGGTTTTTTTTGGGGGGAGGCATTGTCAGGGAGTTGGGAGCCTCCCCCATGCAGACCCTGAATGACTGAATGGGAGTGGTTAGCAGTCAGGCACATCTGCTCCTGTGCCCATGTGTCCCTGCACCCCCATCTCAGCCACCCTTCCTCCCTCCATCCCCATGTGTCCCTGGGGCACCCCCACTAAGCTTCCTTTCTCCCCATGTGTCTCTGCACCCCCCCTCAGCCACCACCCCATCCCTATGTGGCCCTGCCTCTATGCCCCCCCATCTCCATGTGTCCCTGCACCCCCAGTCCCATTCAGCCCCCCAGTCTTTGTGACCCACCCCAGCAACCCTGTGTGCCCTGCTCTGTGTCCCCCACCCCCTCAATATCATATGCCTCCTCACCTGGCCCTTCAGGCAGGGCGCTCTGAGGAACACAGCCACTCCTCCTCCCATTGGTTGCTGGCTGCTACAGTGAGCCAGCTGCTTTCTGTTCTGGTGCCACAGCAGCCCCTGCTGGGTGAAAGTTGTAACTCCAGTGCCTCTCAAGCAGAATGCATTTTCTGCGGAGAAAAAATAAATCTGTGGGGGACATGAAGTCTATGTGTGTGCAGTGGCTCAGAATTCTTCCAGAAGTAAACATGGCCAGAGGGACGAGGGATGGGAAGAGAGCCTAACACAGGACTGAAGCAGCTGTCAGCTGGGGGCACCAGATGGGGAAAAGCTTGTTACACCACACTCAGCCACAAGGGGGCACGCCAGCAGTGAGAGTGTGCTTCAGCAAATGGCTTCCCCTCCCACTATATCCCCAGATACTTTTTCAGCCTTGCTTATTTGAGCAGTCTATTCAACTCAACAAAGCGGGCCTGATCCCTAGTTGCAGATAATCAGTGAGCTTTGTTAATGTCAATGGAGCTATGAGAGTTTACAACAGCTAAAGATATGGCCCAGTTTGTTTTTTCAGAGGTGGCAAACGATCTGCCACACCCTTAAACTGGGCCCTTAAAAGATGTGATGAACCAAAAGGAACATTTTCAAATGTCAAATGACTTTGGGTGCTCCTGTTTTTGGGTGCCCAATTTAACACACCTAAATCCTGATTTTCAGAGGTGTGGGGTAACTATTTTTGCCATTGGTTTCATTTGGAGTTGGGAATGTTTTATACCACTGAAAAAGAGGCCGGAGAGGACTTAAGTGTGGTACCCAGTAGTGCAGGCTAGACAACAGTTCCATTTTGCAACAGATGTTGAGGCTTTGACATTTGTTTTCATTCTGATACAGAACAAAAACGAGCCCTCTTGAAATCTTTCAAGAGAGACTGACCAATGCACCCCAGAACAGCCTGGAGGTTAGAGCATTCAGACTCAGGTAGAGCAGCAGCTTGAACCTGGGTCTTCCCCATTCCAGGTGCATGCCTTATCCACCCAGCTAGTGACTGTTCTGGAGAAGTGGCTTTCTTGTTTTGATCAGAAATTTCTATTTTGGGCCTGAGACCATATTGATACGTTTCTGAAAATCATTTCAGCTTTGGCAAAATGACCTTTTTTATGGGGGGAAAAAAATGTTGTCAGTTAACTTTCATACTCCAAACTTAATGAGCCAACTGTTGATACCTCTTTTTTTGAAAAGTTTGGACCATGTAACTCAGTGGCGGATTTAGAGTTAGTGGGGCCCTATGCGCAGCTTCATTTTCAGCCCTCCTCTCCCGCCACCGGGGACCCAGCCAAGAAAAATAACGTTCTCTCTTATCTCCCCCACTCCCGTTTTTCATTCTTTTTTTCTTCATCCTCCTCCTATATTTTAAATAAGGGGAAGTAAATGAAAATAAAGTGAGGTACCTTGATTGGGGCAAGGGGTTGGGGTGTAGGAGGGGGCATGGGGGACAGGCTGTGGGAGATAGTTTGGGTGCGGGGGCGGGCTCTGGGTTGGGGCAGGGGGTTGGGGTTGGGATGTGGGAGAAGGGGTGAGGGCCCTGGCAGGAGTTTGGGTGCGGGCTCTGGGCTGGGACAGGGGGTTAGAGTGTGGGAGGGGGTGGGGTGCGGGGTGCAGGCTGGGGCGGGGGGGTAGCGCTTACCTTGGGCAGCATAAAAAGAAAAGGAGTACTTGTGACACCTTAGAGACTAACAAATTTATCTGAGCATAAGCTGTCGAGCTGTAGCTAATGAAAGCTTATGCTCAAATAAATTTGTTAGTCTTTAAGGTGCCACAAGTCCTCCTTTTCTTTTTGCGAATACAGACTAACATGGCTGCTACTCTGAAACTTGGGCAGCGTGGCTCCCAAAGCTACGGCACACATACCCCTCGTGCAGTGGCTCCTAGGCCGGGGGGTGGGAACAGGGGGGTCTCCACGCGCCGCTGCCTGCAGGTGCCACCCCCCCAGCTCCTCCTGGCCACAGTTTCCAGCCAATGGGAGCTGCAGAATTGGTGCTCGGGGCGGGCCAGCACGTGGACACACACACACACCCAGTGGCCGCAGGGACATGCCAGCCGCTTCCGGGAGCAAAGTGGCGCAGAGAGCGGGCAAGGAGCCACCTTAGCCCCGCTGCTGGCACGTCTCTGTGTGCACTTTGCAGGGAGGGGGGCAGCAGGTCTCTGTGGGCTGCCTGGGGTGAAGGCAGCACACAATCACCTCCCCCACTCCGCTGCCAGGGGCACACAGAGACATGCCAGCAGCCAGCCGCTTCTGGGAGTGGCGTGGGGCCACCGGCCACGGCATGCAAGCAGCCTGCTTGCCTGAGCCCTGCTGCACTGACGGCCAGGACTCGGGGGCAGGTTGCCAGATATTTGTGCTGCATTTGGGGGGGCCCCCGTCATTGGGGGCCCTGTGCCACTCCACGGTTTGTTTCATGGTAAATCCACTGCTGACGTAAGTTGTCTTCACATCACGCAGGAAATCTGTGATGGAGCTGAGATCAGAATCCAAAACTCCTACCTTTGGTTTTGGATCTTAACCACAATGCTGTTTAACAATGCAGAGTTTTTAATTGTATAGTTTTGCTCACAGTTTCAACACAAGTGTTGAAATACACAATCAACAACTACGTGAAACTTGTGTTTTTAAAAAACCCTGACTTGTATGTGAACTAGCTCACAAGACTTACCCAGAGCTTTTCACTCTAATACAGTAACGTTCTTTAGCATTTTCCTTTAAATAGAAAAATTGAATCTGAAATTCTTTTACAATTAAACTTCAAGGGCTTTGTTCCAGTCTCAGGAACAAATATTCTCTCATTTGTTCCCAGATAGCCAACATCAGAATCAAAGCCTTAGTTTTATTTTCAATTGTTTGTTTTCCGAGTAGGGTTAACTCCTGCTACGTTCTTGAATTTGCATTTCTATGTGGTTCTCTTGGCTTGTGGAAGAAAGAAGCAGTGGTATGCTCCTAGCATATACAGTACTTCCCCTTTAACTGGCTCACTGACAGGAGGGGTAGTGACTGTACAGGGACCAAACTCCCTGTAACTAAAATGCTATTAGCTGAATACTGAAGAGCTTACCATTTGCTCAGGATAGTTTTTGTAGTGGTGTTGTAGCCGCATGGGTCCCAGGATACTAGAGAGACAAGGGGAGGTGAGGTAATATGAGGATAGTTTTTAGCAGTTAGTGGACAAACTTAATGTATCATAAGGTTGAGAAGCCCTTATACACAAGGGTTTCAGGCAAGCACCTGCAGACAAACTTTGGACCTGACCCTTCCCCACATTGAGACAATGTGAGATCTGTTATTAACTCCTGTGTTAGGAGGAGTAGGCTGCAGAAGATTCACTACCCCAACAGGTTTCAGAGTAACAGCCGTGTTAGTCTGTCTTCGCAAAAAGAAAAGGAGTACTTGTGGCACCTTAGAGACTAACCAATTTATTTGAGCATGAGCTTTCGTGAGCCACAGCTCACTTCATCGGATGCATACCGTGGAAACTGCAGAAGACATTATATACACACAGTCTAAAGTGATCATCAAGTTGGGCCATTTCCAGCACAAATCCAGGTTTTCTCACCCTCCGCCCCCCCACACACAAACTCACTCTCCTGCTGGTAAATCATCAAGTTGGGCCATTTCAACTTGATGATCACTTTAGATAAGCTATTACCAGCAGGACAGTGAGGTGGGAGGAGGTATTGTTTCATGGTCTCTGTGTGTATATAATGTCTTCTGCAGTTTCCACGGTATGCATCCGATGAAGTGAGCTGTGGCTCACGAAAGCTCATGCTCAAATAAATTGGTTAGTCTCTAAGGTGCCACAAGTACTGCCCCAACAGTAGCCTAGCAAGGCATTGCTCCTCAGTGATGCCCCTCTGAGGCACAGATTCTCCAGTGATCATCTCTTATGCTGGAACAGGGAACAATCTGCTACAGTACTTTCAGGTGCAACATAATCCTGTTACCTGTGTCCGGCCAGGTCTGCTCACCAGTTCATTAGAAGGTCAAAAACCACAATTCTGCCACCTACTTGTTTGTAGGGGGAAGTAGTAGAAATAGTCTCTGCTCCCCTCCCCGTGGAATAGAGGCAGGTCTAAGGTGGCCATGCAGAAGAGGGGGTCGGGGGGGGGGGGCTTAGTCCCCTGCATGGCCACATTAGTCCCAGCCACAGGCTAGCACTTTGTCAGTTTTCAGCTGAAGGTACCTTGTTTTTGGTGTGTTATGGGGTATTCCATAACTGTATGCATTTTCCACTTTATGCATCCGATGAAGTGAGCTGTAGCTCACGAAAGCTG